GTCCAGCAGCTGCTTTTGGTTGATCAGTTAGTTCAAGAGAAACTTCTGGACTAAGTAGTGGTTTCCGAGGCATATAGGTGTCTTGTGACGGTTATACGCTATCCAAATAGCAGGATATACAGAATTCATTTTTTGGCCTCATTCCATGACTTTTTGGAAGCAAATTTCTTGAAAGGCATAGACTGGATAGCAGCGCAGAAACGAGTCTATTTAACCCAAGTTTATCGTAGTTATTAGGGGTCAATCATTGAGATTTCTGTAATCACTCCACTATGGTGTCCCATGCCTTTCCTTTAGTCGTTGCAAGGCTCCCCCTTATTACTGCCGTGGAGAATAGTTGAACTGCCAGATCCCTGGGTGAAGGGTCATGTTCCAAAGCGGAAGTTAAGCTTGCAGGAATATGAGAGTTAGTCCAGTACGTATCTTTTCACTAGAAATGCAGCCATGATCATTCTTTTCTTTTTAGAATGTCTATGTGAAATGCGCCGATCGTTATAGTAATAAGCCTTGACAAAGCTTAAGCAACTAAAACTAGCGCCTAATTTTGCTTCCATTCTCGTTTATAAAGGCAATGGGGTGTTGACAATGATGTCTACCGTTCCCATCATCTGAAGTGAGGTTGCATATTTTTGTATTTGATGCCGTAATTGCTTTTTAGGCAGAAAATTCTTATAAGTTAGATTTAGCACCCCCTCTACCATTTGTAAGTTGATCTGGTTGACTGCATATAATCATTTTCCAGTTAGCAGGCAACATTTAACCCCCAAAAGAGGATCTATATCTCCTAAGAGTGGTTACTCAAAATCATCAACAATACATCCCTCTACTCCTCCTGATTTGAGCACTTTGGGTGTAGTTGGCGTGGTAATCAAAAAGCCCAGCTAAAAAATCCCTGCAAACTCGGACTGTCCAAAAACAATTATGCGCATGAATTTGCTTTTTTTCATTTATGTGGGTCTAAAGGGGAAACATTGCATTTCTACGAAATCAGCGTCAAATTATTTTCGGAAGCAAGTCAATTAATTTTCTGGTAAAATGAAGAAAACAAGCAGAACCAAAAAATGAAATTCTAAGCAATGCATTTGCCCATTAGCTGACCTTCTTCGCAGCCCCTGAAAGGCGAAGTGGTGGTGTTTGGCAGGAGGAGGAGGGGAGCACACATGGACTGCCAAATTTTAACGGCTGTAAGTAAGCGGCATTAGCGTTAGACCGGACAGATTATCTGTATTTATTGCCTTTCTACAGTTCTAAAGTGATGCTGACTTTTACTAAGCCTATTTGTTAATCAGCCTTCCTACTGATAGAACCGAATTTCATTCATGCCTCAAGGAAACCTTACATCTAGTGAATTGTCTGGAAGGGAGGTGTCTGATGTGATTGGGTAATCCCAAGTTGGAAACATAGAATTACTCTGATAAATATTCTGCACAATGGTCAACGCCAGATACCTGCATTGAACGAGGCGAAATTGTTCATACAAAGGGGTGCTCACTCTATTTCTTGCCGAAGTGATTAATTTTGGAGGTGCCTACAATTTTCTAATTAATATTCTTGTATGATTTTCTTGATATACCAATTTGTTACTAATGTCCGAACATTTTAGAGTTGTGGCCTTGCTCAGTTCCTTCTAAATGGTTCATATCAAGCACAGGTGACCTTAAAGTATTATGATAACCCCTCAACGATCACGGTCAATTAAATGCTTTAAATAGCCACAAATGAAATCATTCAGACGTGTAGACTTATGCCCAGGCAATCTTCGTTTTCTACCTAATAGGCATGTAAACACTGAATACAGCCCACATGCTTACTCATTTGCGTCAGTAATGAAGACGTCTACTTTGAAGTCCATTTATTGACTATATGAGCCGCGATCTCGATAGGATTCAGGCTACACGAATATAGAAACCGCAATCCATGCCATGAACATTTGGTAAAAGTAAGATAAAGCAGTTGATCTTACTGTCAAAAGCCGATCTTTACTAAGAAGAAATTATTCAGGAAAGAGACGTACAGAAGTTGTTCCTTAACAGTCTAAATGACATATCTGATTAATTCATTCCTCATTTGGTTGCTAAAAGTTCCAGAAAAGATGTTTTAATGACACAGAAGAGGTGGAGAACAAAGTGACAATCTTTAGAGCTACTGTTTCTCTACCTTTGAATCTATGCTATGTGCCATCAGATCACTCTATCTAGCTGTCATGGCTTTCCCAATTGGTGTGCTTGTAAGGCACATTCTTCACCTCTCATACTTGACATTACCGAAGGCCGAATCTACGGGACACCGAATGAAGACGATAGAGAAGGCGATATACTAATCTCTTTTAAATACCTTCTTTTGGGTTCAATCTTCTTCTAGACCCATTTCGTTTTATTCATTTTCAGAACCTGATTTCCCAAACTTCCTCTCGGGATTCTTGATATTTATTTTAAAAGGACGCTTCAAAACAGAATTAATTTTTAGGCATCCTAAAGATGAAGTTATCAATTGACACAAATTTTGTTAATTAATCGGGGAAAAAGGAAAACTACTTTTGGGTCGTAAAAGACCCTTTCATCTTTAAAATCGAAACGGCCTGTCCATTCACAGGTGGTGAAATCATCATCCTAACCATCCACCTGATCCTGTTCATTACCGTCTCCGGGTAATGTACCAGATTCTCCCCTCACATCCGAGGTGTTATCCTCATCCACCTCTGCCAAAGCTGGAAGAACCGCCTCTCCGGGATTTGTTGCTGGTGAGATCATGGTACTTTGAATACTGCAGGGTGTGGAAGGTGAATCACCTGGTAGATTGTGCATCTCCAAGCTCTCCGACGACTTAAATCGAGGTCCTAGTGACTCACGTAGTACATCATTGTGATCCTCTGATTCAAGGCCCTATTTAAATTTCTATTCAGTTGGGATTTAAAGCTGGTTTTACCCTCAAATGAAAATAAAGCAAGTCTTCTATTTCCAACGATAAAGCTTGTAACATTAATTTTAAGTTAGCTATCATGGCATGTAATATGAAAAAGAAAAATTATTGTCTTTTTCTAACTTTCTTAAAGTGATTTCAAGTACATTGACCAGTCTTACCGTGTGAAGATTCACCGCATTGACCGTATTTAAGTTCCGATCATGAGGGTCAGTGCCTAAAACGCTAAAAATCCAAAACCACATTTTTAAATTTCACATTCATCACTCTTAAAATGTTTTTTTTTCCAAAGAAACCATGTTTTAACGCTAGAGAAACAAAAAGGAGGTTTTAATACCAATCGTGAATCTTTTGACAATGGCTAGTTAATGTCGGGATTGTAGATTTGGCAAAAAATAACGCCTCTAAAATGGAAAATTTCAAGTAAATTGTAAGTGCCTTTTTGCTTCAATTAATTTTAATGGGACTTTAAGTGGGATACTACCTATAAATAGTGAAAGTCTACCAAGCATTTTTTACTACGAGTTCTTCTAAATTGGGTACTTACTCAATGTTGAAAACCGAGCCGATCATTTGAGTGGATTGAAGTTTCTTAGAGTCGGCAGTGTGTGGTAGACTAACGTTGGTTGAATCCCAGAATTTGTCCCGAACAAGTTCTGTTGGATGATACTTCCTATCTACCATATGCATTCCATACTATTCTCGTGATAAGAAAGACCGATGATAAACTTTAAAAGGAGCATTTTTTATCAAAAAGGCCGGCAAGAATTATTGTCACAATGTTGTCCTTGTCATGTCTAAAGCCTCGGGATTTTTCTCATTACTTCCTGTGATGGCGGCTACTATTGATAGCCAACTGGACTCCTGAAATGCTCTACATCCGTCACACCGATAGTGAAACCACTTTTAGTTTTTTAATCCTCCAATTGATACAATCACTCCTTGAGTGAAAACTATCACATTATAAGCCCTATCCATATGACAGGCTAAAATATAGGTACGTGTCAACCCTCCTCAAACACTCCTCTCATTAAACATGGCTAATAAAGGACGCATTAAATGTTGGATAAAACGTGGTAGCAACAACTGTATGTGGATGTATGCTTCAATCCACCCGGTGCATCTAGACGCCTTTGTGACACGGCAGACTTCACACCAGGAAATTATGAACTCAAGCACCACAGTTCATTGCTTTATTATAAAAAAATATTCCATTTCTTTTCTTTCTGACTACGCACTGACAGTGGTCATGCATAGCTCCGACAGTTAGACCTTTTTATTAATAAGCATGACAAAAATTCTACCTCTTTATTACTTACGCTCCAATTGCAGTCAATTATAGCGTTGATATCAAAGTCTTCATCATCTTCGCCCATTGGATTCACCAAGGTTTCTGCCACCTTTTTTGGGTAAAAAACAGATTAATCATTTTCTTCACTCGCTTTATTTTCAAAATGACATTTCAAAGTTCAGAATTTAAAAAATGGACAAATTATGTGAAAGAAAATTAAAATATTTTTAACTTAGCGATGTAGCATTCTAAAAAGAGAACTTTCCTGGAGCAAAAGAACAATCATTTATAATGATCTAGCTCTCTGTGCTTGTAAAATTTACGGTTTATAAACCCTTTTAAATTCTTTGTTCCAATTTGTTTAGTAAATTAGCCATCCTAACACCGCCTTTAAAGAACTAAAGCAGTAAAACAACTAGTTTTGAGATTAGTATTGAGTTTTCAACAAAAGATTAACTGGAGGTGGGTCACAATTTTCTCCTGCTTATGATGAGTTCATCGCTTCTTTCCTCCTTTTGTTGACAAATATGGAGGCCTGATTAAAGAAAGTAAATCATAAATACATCAAAGGTTGAACCACTTCTCGAACATTAGCTTAAGCAAGTGAACTTCAGAAGGTGCGAGTTGAGGAAACTCAAGTCAAACTGTGGGACACTCTACTGCAGAATCAGTATAGTCCAGCCAGCGTCGAACTAAAAGTGCCAATCCGTTGGTTTTGCTGCCATAAGTATAGAGTTCTGCTGTATGAGGAGGACAGTATACTGTCTAAGCAGGAAGTTTAATTCCAGCTATGGAGACTCGGGCAAAGTAAACAGGAAAAAAAAACTTTATCATACTCAGGCCCTAAAGGATTTACAATTTTACGACACTGTATGAATATTGAAAGAAAACCTGGCTACAACTAAATTAATGTAACAAAGTGCGGTGATAAGAAAATGCAAAATGGCGTAAATTAGATCCGTTACTACTTAACTAAACGCTAGATAAATGTAAAGGTTTATTGTTAGCATTCAACAACATTTAACCCCC